CTCCCCCCCCCCTCTCTTTTCCGAAACGCAACCAAAATATTACTTCCTTTCCTTTCAAGGAGAAACTGGTAAGTTAACAATAAGACTCTAGCTCACCGAAAATAAAGTGATACAGTTAACAGAAGAAGAAACTAAGTCAGAATTTTGCAAAGCAAATTTCAGCAAATCGAAAAAAACTGAACTCTTTCAAAAGATGAAAGCTTACGAGCTCAAAATATCGACGAAAAAAACAACCCGGAGAAAGCATACCTTGCTTCTGATTGTGGCGTTCAATCATATGTTTAACGATGAGATTTTCAAATGGAAAAGCACTGCCACACTCCAGACAAAAGAAGATATTTTGTGAATTGTGTCGCAAATTATGCACTCGTGCGGCCGAATGTGTTTCGAAGCGAATATCGGCGCACTCAGACCGGGAGCAGTACAAATTTCCATCAGCATTTCTCATGATATAGTCGCATGTTTTTGCATCCATGTCTTGCGTTACCACATCGACTATATTGAGTACACCGCGACACGTCTGAAACTCAAGTTATCCCGGCAATCGGCATAGCCACGTACATCAAAAATTAAACAGTCTTTCTCAAAAGCAAAGTCAAAAAAACCAATGCAAAAAGTCTTTTCTCAAAATCAAAGTCAAAAAAACCAGTGCAAAAAAGTCTCTCCTCAAAACCAAAGTCAAGAAACCAGTGCAAAAAGGAAATCACTTTCCATTAGGGTTAGTTTTACTGGAACTGTAAAAAAAGACAGCAGCAATTTTAGCTCCCTTCTGGCACTACTGTAATAAAAAACAATCAGCAGCATCAGCCCATCACAAGTCTCCGATCAATTAGCCAGCACTACGAACTTGAAATTGTTCACCAAAACACATATACTCAAAAAGTACTGCTTTTTTTTCAACATAGTTCAGAGAAAATACCCGAAAAGCAGATGATGGTTCTGAAGTGGACGGCACATCGCGAGGACTTGATGAGTCACGAAGGTGGGAGAGCTGATGTGCAGCACTCGAAGCTTCGGAAGAAACCGGCTGTGGCTGAGACACACGAACCATATTCTGGAAAATTGCACATGAAACTACAGTCAAAAT